AAAATTTTGTTTAGTTTATCTAACATTGTATCCACAATCTTTACCTAATCAAACTTCTTTTTGCATGAACTCGCTGACCCTTTGTATTTTTTAAGCTTAATTATTATCCGATGTCCAAAATCTATTATATATCTCGAGGCAAATTAGTTAGAATATGCAACTTTATAAGTTCTAATATGGGTTGATTGTTCGCATGACCTTTCTCTTTAGTAAATAGTTTAATACAAATAAGGTTTTGATTAAAACAACTAGATTTATTGAATCATAGGTAACTTCTAACTATGTGCATTGTAGAAAGTCTAATATTAACGGATTGTTCAGCGTACCTTTTTGTTTAATGAATTTCGATAAATAATATTTTGACTAAGCAACTAGGTTTGACTCATGGACCATAGATAACTTTCTATTAGAAAGTCTAATATGGACTGATTGTTACCTTTCTCTTTCATGAATTTGTATAAATAAGGTTTTGATTAAACAACTTGGTTTGACTGAACCATAGAGAACTTTCTAACTCATGCGTGGTTGAAAGTCTAATATGGACTGATTGTTCGACTGACCTTTTTCTTTAATGAATTTCTGTAAATAAGGTTTTGATTGAGCAACTAGGTTTGACTGAATCATAGATAACTTTTTAATTCGTGTGTGGTAGAAAATTCTAATAGGAAAAATTACGAAAATTCCACCTTTTAGTTTACTTATTACCATTATCCCCTATAAGTTTTACAAATTTCTAAAATCCCTCATTTTCGCGCATCAGATTAATGTATCAACGCTTATATTATTGTATCTCACGCATCAGATTAATGTATCAGAGCTATATAAGTGCTGATACATGCGCGAGATACAATAATATAAGCGTTGATACATTAATCTGATGCGCGAAAATGAGGGATTTTAGAAATTTGTAAAACTTATAGGGGATAATGGTAATAAGTAAACTAAAAGGTGGAATTTTCGTAATTTTTCCTATTAGAATTTTCTACCACACACGAATTAAAAAGTTATCTATGATTCAGTCAAACCTAGTTGCTCAATCAAAACCTTATTTACAGAAATTCATTAAAGAAAAAGGTCAGTCGAACAATCAGTCCATATTAGACTTTCAACCACGCATGAGTTAGAAAGTTCTCTATGGTTCAGTCAAACCAAGTTGTTTAATCAAAACCTTATTTATACAAATTCATGAAAGAGAAAGGTAACAATCAGTCCATATTAGACTTTCTAATAGAAAGTTATCTATGGTCCATGAGTCAAACCTAGTTGCTTAGTCAAAATATTATTTATCGAAATTCATTAAACAAAAAGGTACGCTGAACAATCCGTTAATATTAGACTTTCTACAATGCACATAGTTAGAAGTTACCTATGATTCAATAAATCTAGTTGTTTTAATCAAAACCTTATTTGTATTAAACTATTTACTAAAGAGAAAGGTCATGCGAACAATCAACCCATATTAGAACTTATAAAGTTGCATATTCTAACTAATTTGCCTCGAGATATATAATAGATTTTGGACATCGGATAATAATTAAGCTTAAAAAATACAAAGGGTCAGCGAGTTCATGCAAAAAGAAGTTTGATTAGGTAAAGATTGTGGATACAATGTTAGATAAACTAAACAAAATTTTACTCACTTTTTTTATGATCAATTGATAAAAATATCTAGGAAAAACAAGTTTTTTTTAAAATGAAAAAATTGATTTCCTAATGAAAGCACAGGAGAACAAGTTCCACAAGTGATATTCACTGGTGTAGACACTTATATAGTGACAGGTGGTCAGTCGATCATTCTTCATCAAAAAATTATTTTTCATATGCATATATTAAATCTTGAACACTAAATTTCTGATTTCGCCACTTGCTGTAATTTGCCCAATCTAATATGGGTTGATTGTTCGTTTGACCTTTCTCTTTTCTGGCCCATATCTTATTAATCAAGGCCCAATCCCCTCACCAGTGTAGTGGTATTAACCATATCTTCATGTATTTACTTTCATCTCTATCTCTATTGAATTTATAATCAAGATGAAATTGGCAGTACATGTAAAATGTTAAAAGAGTAGTCAAAATGGATTAATTGCGCGGTTGAAAGTCTACAATGGACTTAATTGTTTGATTGACGTTTGAGGGAAAATTACAAGCAAACATATGTCTTGTATCTTCTTTATATATAAGAGGCATGGATGCTTCTCATTATCAGAAACTTTCAGTAGAAGATTAAAAAAAAAAAACTAAAGATGGAACATTTGTTTAAAGTTATGTTTCTCCTTGTGTTGTTTTCTATTGGCAATGCAGGTAACATTTCTTTAATTTCCTACTAGACTATATATATTGTCAAAGTAACACTATGAATAATAATATGTAGATCAAGATCGCTAATTATCATTTTATTTTATTTTATAACAGAGGCAAAGAATTGTGTTGAATGGAGCAAAACATTCAAGGGGCCATGTTTTAGTGTTCAAAAGTGTAGAGATGCTTGTATAAGTGAAGGTTTTACAGATGGATATTGTGCTTATTTGAGAAGATACAGACGATGTTCTTGCTCAAAACCATGTCTTTTCAATAATTATCTACCATAATTACTATTTTTCTAAATTATGTGTTTAATTTGAGGTTTAACAAAAAAGATATATGTCCATAATCAATATTTTCTTGTCTTAATTCTATATCTTTTTGTTTTTTGTTTATATTAAAATAAATGTGTGTATGTCTCTCTCTAGTTAATCGACTCCTAAATTAAAATAAGGAGTTCCATGGTCACACTCTAAAATATTTTCTAAATTCGCAATTCTATCGAATTTTTAATTATTATTGAAACATATAGGTATATTTGAAGAGCTCAAAGCTCAAATTCTAAGGGATTAATTTGTCGGACATTAAAGGAGTTCGAAGCTCTACAGTGTTTTTAATTATTATTAAAAATTATATTTAAAGAGTCCAAAGCTCAAGCTCTAAAGGATTTGTCGGACACTAAAGGAGGTCGAAGCTCAAATTCTAAAAATTGATTTTGTGACAAATGATGAGGATAATATCTCAAAAGAATTGAAACATCCATAGAGTTGAGTTTAAATTTGAGGCTATTTGGATAAGATTTGAGTTAGTTTTAGTTTGAAATTTTAGTTGGAGTTCGAAGTTACAATTAAATTGTATCAAATTTGTATTAAAGTTAGATTATAATTATATGTTGAGATAGTATGGAATTATTTTAAATTTGCTTGTGTGCTTTATAGTTGTATTAAATTTGTATGAATATTATATGATGGTTGTATCAATGTATAGTATTAAATTTTCAGAAATCAACATGAACTTTATATAAAATTTATACAATTATAAACAAATTTTATACATAAATCTTGAGCAAGATTCGACGTTTTTTTTCTCTTTCAGAAACCTAACAGGAACTCTAACACAAAAATTAGACAATTATATACATATTTATACCAATTTTATATACAAAATTGTGACCCAAAATTCTAAGCCTTGACGAGATATACATATCTCATACCGATTTCACACAATCTTCATACATAAAAAAAATGTGAGCGAAATTTTAAGGCTCGAGAAAAATTCTAAGTGTGATTTCATATATATTTCGAAAAAAAAACTCATATTATATTTTGGTAAATAAAAATCTCCTATTACATGTGATAACACTATGAATTTAATTTGGTATATAAAGGAAACTTCCCAATTGCCAAATTTATTTATATTTCAATTATCAAGAAAGAAGACATGTCAAAGAAGGAAAATAATACATGCCTAACTTCATGCTTTTATATGGATTTTGACTTATAATTTTTTTTTAACATACAATTTTATCTCAATTTTCCTATTTTTTGTTAGACATAACATGTGTAATAGAGTGTGGCAAAGGAGTCTCCCCCCTTCCCTCATTTTCATGTTTAAAACATATCATCTTTTAACATTATTCATGTTGGCTCTCTTGTTAGCATAATTTTCTTGACCCTATATATTTAATTTTTCAAAAAAAAGAAGAAAACAAAATAAATAAGCACAATAGTGGAGACGAGTCTCAATATGCATACTCAAAGTTGAAGTGTTTATTTGTCAACTAATAAGGCCATATTTAAATGTCTGTTTAGATAAATGTCTTTCAAAAATCTTCTTTTTTATCTTAAATTTCATACTCAATCAAACACATAGCATAAAATGAGAGAAATGTTATCTACGGTATTTAGAATAGTAAATCAGAAATATTGTTAAGATGAAAAGAAAGAAAATATCTGAGTCCACAAATGTTACTGTGTGTCCTTGAGGAATTTAATCCCTTCATTGTACCCGAGATTGTGAATTATTTCCTCCCAAGATAAAATAGATATACCTATTAAAGAAGCAGTGGTACCTCGTGCATCAATAACTTCAGCGAACTCAAAAGTTAGCAATGAAAAAAATTACACAAAGACTCTACTTTGTTTGTTCGAAAATGTATGCAGAAGAAAGAGAAAATTCGATACAGAAAACTGAAAGGAAACCCCTCTATTTATAGTCAACGATAGGTGTGAACTCACTTGTTCAGAACATATGAGTCTGTTCAAATAATGTCTTTTAAGAGAGGAAATGTCTGTTCGGAAAGAACAAGTCCTTTCCAAAACAGTTCCGCAAATTAAAATTAATTTTGTTCCGCGAACCTCTCTCTTTTTTACACCAGTATGCCACTCCTTTCGTAACAATTTATGTTACATTTTTTTTTTGTCTGTTTCAAAAGTAATGATACTATTTTTTATATATATAGTAATAATTCAACTTTATACTTCTCATTTTATTTATAACGAAATACTCCCTCCATTCACTTTTCCTTTCCGACAATATTTTTAAAAAAAAACACTTTAACTTGTCCACTTTAGCATCTCAAAATTTTTTTAATACGATCTTGTTTTTCCTGTTTTATCCTTAGCATTTAACTATAAAAGCCCCCTTACTATTCCTAGTCTCAACCAGTACTCAATTTCACAAATTGCATTTCCCTTTCTCTCTCTCTAAAAAGATGGGATACTCCATGCGTTTGTTTGCAACTTTCTTCCTTGTAGCAATGCTGCTTTTGTCCACTGGTTTGTCTTCTTCCTTAATTTTATTATATAGTTTAAAGTTAAATCATCAACGTGAAAGAATTTTATAAGGAAAAAAGGTTCACATAATTTTTTTAATTTTACAATTTAGAGTTAATATATTGCTAGTTAGTAAAGTGGTTTATAATTCATGTCGTTATATAAATGATTTAGATATATTCTTTTCGAATGCAATTTATTATTAAAAAAATGGCCGAGACCCTTTTTTGTTGCACTGAACCAAGCATTTGTGTAAATAAGAGTATAAATAGGTCATTTTAAAATTTAACGAATATCTTTGGCCTTATTTTCTTGTTATAATATTATTAGATATCGAAAAAATAACTATACTATCAGGTTATTTAGAAAATATCTAACAAGTAAATTTTCTTAAAATATAAGAAGTATAATTTATTCAATAATCACACTTAATATAAGAATTTCTTACTATCAGATCATCTAAAAAATATCCCACCTTAAAATATTGAAATTATATAAGATAACTTACCTGACATAATGAATAAAACTCACTGATGGTGTTAAAGAAATTATTATATGATATATATAACTTAAATTCATATTTAAACTAAAATAAAATTAATTGCGACTAGTAAAAATGACTTAATAAAATAAAATAGAATTACTGGTTAAAAACAACATAAATTATCACTTTTCAGATTTCCTATCTTAATTATCACTCCATTATATTAAAACATACCCTAATATATGCGCCTATATAGGCAACTCACATTGAGGTGTATTTCAATGCAAAGAGACTGAATAGTTTAAGTACGTAAGTAAAATAATGGACAGTTGGTAAATCAAAATCGAAAATAAAAAAAATAAAATTGGTGTGTTATTTATCATTAACTTTATAAAATATATAATTCTTGATTTTTTATATTTGCCTACAATTGATAGAGATGGGACCAATGAGCGGTGGTGCAGAGGCAAGAACCTGCGAGTCACAGAGCCACAGTTTCAAGGGGCCATGTGTTGGCGATACCAACTGCGCCTCCGTGTGCCAGACTGAAGGTTTCATTGGCGGCGATTGTCGTGGCCTTCGCCGCCAATGTTTTTGCACTAGAAACTGCTAGAAGAAAGTTTCTAAATGATCTTTTTAACTGTCTATGTATTTATTTCCTTGTTAAAATATCTAATGATAAATAATACTGCTCTATCAATAATAAAGAGACTAACTAACCTCATATAAATATATGGTGCGTTTGTTACGATTCAAAATCGTAGGTCATGATTCGCTCTGAAGAGTCATGATCTAGGCGTACCAAAATTATTAATCGAGGAAGGGAAGAATAAGTTCAAGTCATTCATAATATAAATAGTAAAGTTATAGCCCTGAACATGGACAATAGGAACTCAAAATTATTAATTGAGTTATATCCTTTTCCCGTTCCATCGAGGAATAGAGCTACTAATTCACTAATTATGACAGTTCACTCAAAGCCTTATTTTTTCTCCAATTCTTGTTTACCACGGATGATCGTGTATTTGTGTTGGGTGAATGCCACTTCATCACAATACTACCTATTGATATTGGAAAACCCAACGGATTCTTCCAATATATCATTTCTAGGTCGAATGAATTTCATAGATATAGAAAGAAGCCCTATAGCACAATGTTAGACTTTTAACATTGGAGAGCTCTATGTTCGACTGAATCTTAAATAATTAAACTAACTACAATTAATCTACTTAAACCAAAATATTTTGGATCCAACTAAATGAAAACTATGCTAGTCTAAAGATACCTTCATAATTAAGTTATTCACAGCTCTTTGATCAAATATTATATTATAGATAATTAAATCTAGAAGGGATTAGTGAATCTTATCTCTTGAGTAAATAAAGTATGGAAGCTCTCCAGTCCCACACTGGCTGGATACTAGACCTTCTATGTAAGAAATGAGGGTATTAAAGAGCCCGTTCAATACTAGAAAAAACATACCTTTCTCGGCCTTTTGGCTAAGATCAAGTGTAGTATCTGTTCTTATCAGTTTAATATCTGATATGTGAGTCATCGACTCACACGATATTAACTCTATTTTTTTAGGGGGAAGGTCCACCACAGTAGCTTGCTATTGGGACCTTCAAGTGTCGCCTTGGTGTTGCATTACTGCCTTGGCCCGGCACACCCACCAATTCTTAGTCTTAAGCTTTTTTGGCATAAATTTACTCTTTGATTAAGTATGAGATTTGCATTTAGAATATCGATCATCATATTGAAGACGATTAATTAAGGATCTACCAATTTATAATGTCGTCTTTGCCTTGGCGTTGCACTACACTAGCATTCCAAAAACTTTAATAATTGTAACATCCCACCTTAGAAAGGGCTAGATTTAGAAATAACTAATTTGGAAAGAGCCAAATTGAAAATTTTGCAAGTTATGCTAAGTTGTGAGTTTTGGATTCAACTTCAAACGACCATAACTTTCAGTACAGGATGAGTTAGGTGACATAAGATATCAAATTAAAGGTCTAGGAATCCTCTTTCCAACGCCATCGAGTTTGCTAAGTTTCAAGTTCGTATGAGGGAGATATGACCATTTGAAATTTGTCTGTCCAGTTAAGGAAAGTTACCCAAAATTATGAGGGGTATTTTGGTCTTTTCCTTACCCCTTCAGATTAAAACATTTTAGTAATGTTTTTGGGGTCAAATCTGATTTGGGTCAGTTTTACGAATCCTAAATTACGCTTAGGGTTTTAGAAGAGAGTTCAAGAAGAGAAAAGAGGAGAAAAGGAAGAACGATCAAGATTTCTTGCGAATCTAGGATTTGTTTCGCCAAATCAAGGTATGTAAGCTTCCTAGTGCTGGGTTCGTTCTCCCTCACGCCAATCATGTAATCTTTTACCTATGAATTCATTCTTGATGTTGAAATGTTGAGTTCTTGAGAAGTTCTTGAATTTGATTGGTAATAGAGTATTGTTTTGAGTTCTTGAGGCAAGAATTTGCAAATGAGTTGAGTTAATTGATAGATCCTTGTGTGGGTTTCGCTGAAATTATTCTAGATACTAAGAATTCGTGAATTTTGATCTTAGATTAGCAGTGGGTATGAGTTGAATCAAGCTTGGGAGAGGAGGAAAAAGATAGATTATGCGCCCAGGTCCGCGTAGCGGAGGCACCTCAGATTTTCAGTACCCAGACGAGCACTCCCTCTCCGCGTCACAAAGAGGATGCCGAGTCCTCTATCTAAAAAATTAATTCGCGACCAAATATTTAAATCCTTCCCCGCGTCGCGCCTATGCCCTCTAGATTTGTGTCTTCACTCATTTCTTGTTATCAACTATCTAAAGTACTCCAGTAATCATTGAGAGATCCCAAACATCCTAATCATAACCCTTGAATTCATAATTCAAATTCAAGGTAGAGTTAAGAGTAAAGTCTTGAGAGTTTTTTTGAGTCATTTGAGATGTCTTTTGCAAACGTTTTAAATTTATTTTAAGACTTGAGTACTTGAGTATGAGGATGAGTAGAGTTGAGTTTCATTATTTTCAAAATGAATTTATGGGAATTAAGTATTAGAGTAAATGTTTTTACATTTAAAATGATGAGGAAACTATGATTTCCAATTGAGTTCATGAGGAGTTTTGAGTACTCTCTTTTAAGAGAAGTCTTTTGAGTAATAAATCTCAAAATTTGAGGATGAGGAAATGTTTTTAAACATATGAGCTGAGCATATTTTTGGGAGTAGTATTGAGCACCGATATGAGATGAGTTCATACAACTCAAAGTCCTCATAAACCATGTAGCCAACGTGGGTAGAAAAAGTCATACTTTTTAGATGATTCCTTATTACTTTTTAAGCATAGCTTAGTTGATCCACTTAGTTGATGAGTTCTATACCCCGACAAGGTATAGGACAGTTCTGGCAACATGGATGAGACATTGTATCATCACATAGCTCATAGTGATGGTTGTCGGTTAGAGAATCTCCCAAATAGAGTTATTTTGTATTTTTACATACTAACTGAGTTATTATTGTATTTTTCAATACATTGAGTTGCTATCTACTATTTTTAAAAGCTTTTCTTTATATCGCGTTATTGTTATTGCTTTTATATTGAAATGAGTTGAGGTCGAGTTGAGTTGAGACGAGGTAAGTTGTTTCTTCAATTCCAGTTCAAGTTTATGTCAAGTTTTAGATTTTCCCTTGCATGCTCGTACATTCCAAGTACTGATGCCATTTGACTTGCATATTTTATGATGCAGATACAGGGAATCAGAATCACCAAACAAAGCTCCATTGATCCAGTTGTTTTCCAAAGTTGTTGTGAGCCTCCTTGCTTCCGGAGGATCCCTTATTTATTTCTAGTATTTCCATTTTGTTAGGATGATCGGGGGTCTTGTCATGACATCCCTTATCGTATTAGACGCTTCATAGATAGACAATAGTAGTTCATGAGTCTTTTTCATTTCCGTTGTTAAATGTTAAGACTTGAGTTGCCTATTTTGGGCAGTGAATGTTTTTTAACATTTTGAGTTAGTTCTTTTAAAGACTTTGAGTAAAGGTTGCTTTTGAGACTTTTTTACATTTTGAGTAAGTCTTCCGCTAAGAGTTGAGTCAGGCCGAGGATTCGGTTCTCGAGTGCCAGTCACATCTAGGGTGTAGGCTTAGGACGTGACATTAATAGAGAGAGCTCAATCATCCTACTAGGTTTTACATTCTACATGCTTTTGATATTAAAGAAAATGTACACAGACTAGAGAGTTATTAGACAACAGAAGGAATCAAAAGAAAAAGATATTAAAGAAAATGTACAGAGACTAGAGAGTTATTAGACAACAGAAGGAATCAAAAGAAAAAGAGAGGCTCAGATGCGCGATTTTGTCGTCTGATTTCAGATATGGAGAGAGACCCAAAGTTCTCACATTTGCACAATTTATTTTCACAGCACTTCGTAATGCACCAGCCGGGAATCGAACCCGGGTCTGTACCGTGGCAGTGTAGTATTCTACCACTAGACCACTGGTGCTTGATGCTACAACAAATTCTATTTTTCTTAATTATAAGAAAAATATCACATCCAAACTATTAGATATCAATAAATTGATAATGTAATGTTCAGTCGTCCGTTTTTAGAGCGGTGTGTTATTCATTGATCCTCAATCTCGAAACTTTCCTATCTAGGGTTATGTATTTCATAAGCTAGAGTTGTGTTATGTCATGTCTCCCCTCTCCCCCCCCCCCCCCCC